TCGATGTCGATTACCCCAGCCATAGTCATGAGTCGATGTTTGACTGCTAGACCACTGTAGGGTGCAATTCGTCCATAGGTGCCTTCTGGTAGTCCGATGGCTATTCCTGTTGCTATCGTTGCCTGCCCATTGGCAGGTATCTTGATTCCTTCGTTGGCATACAGGTCGTGTCCTGCCGCCCCTTTGGAACCCTTGGCAGGCACTCTTGCCTCTTAGTCCAGTCTTTGTATCCGGATTCTTTTATCTTGCCGCATCTTGGCGAACTTTGCATGCAAAGTTTCTTCTTCGGCTTCTCGTATCGGTGTCGAGTAAACCACAGGTGAACTGTTGAGACATCTTGTCACACATAGTTCGCTTGTAAAGGTTATCTTGTTCTCGTTCCAGTCAATTGTCGGGTTATACTTTCGTAACCATGGCATCCCTAGGACTATCTAATGGTTTTTAAGATCTGCTACCTGAAAGGTTGCCGTTTCCCTAAGGCTGTCAATGTCCATAGGTACTGTCGCTGTATGGGTTATTGGACCCATAGCGCTTGGTTTTCCATCTGCTATGTAAACTTGTCTCGCTTTCTTTGCTTGTTTGGTGTAGAGGCCGTATTTGTCGCTGATTTCTTTGTCAATCAAGTCTTTGGTAGCCCCAGAGTCAAGCATTGCATATATTGTTGTTTCTTTGTTCTCTTCATTGTATATCTTCGTTTTGATCATCACATGATCTCCGTCTTCTCCTCCTCTTTGTGTGCGTAGTGCCGAGTAGTAGTTTGCTACCTTGATGGGCTTTCCAGGTCCACATCTTGGATCTCCCTGACCACCGTTTACTGGGGACCCTCAACGTTTTCCGCCAGTGAATCTTCTGCGATCATTTCGCGAATGTTGCTCCTTTTCTGATTTTGAAAACTATTATTTCCTGCAGCTCTGGTTCCTTGGTATCCACTGTCAGGTCGGCTTCTACATTCTCGTATCCTATGTCCTGCTTTTCCGCACCTTAGGCAGAGTTTCCCATTCATTCTTCTGGCGTATTCTTCCTTAGACAGGTTCAGAGCAGGTCCTGCTCTTGATTTGTCTAACTCTATTGGCTCGCCTGGTGGTAATGCTCGACTTTCTCCTCAAGCTGCTTGTGGTTTGAAGGTTCCGTCTACATTTCTGGATGATTGGACCACCTTGTATGCTATAGTGTTTTCTGAGTTGCTTCGAATCATATTTAGTTTACTTTCCTTATCGATCGCCCATCTTGCAAATTACTCTGCTGTTGTATAGCGTAGGTCGGAGATCCCCCAGGCCTCTCGGAGTCTCTCGCTGCAGTTTCTTAGGAGGATGATATAGAGAGTAGCATCATCAAACTCGACCTTCTATTCCAATAGTCAGCATTTGTTCCAGTATGCCGAGAATGTTTGTTTTCCTTGTTGGAGTTTTTCCAGCTTTCATCTTGCTGTTTCTTTGGCGTTAGGATCTCTGAATTGTTCGAAGAGTATCACCTTGAACTCTTCGTATGTGATCCATTCCCTTTGCTTTCTTCCATCTTGGAAAGGCATGATCCATTGTCCCGCGAGTCCTCTGAGTAGAGATTCCATGTATGGAATTTTGATTTCGTCATGGTGATCTCCATATCCCTTGACGGTAAAATATTCTTCACACTGTGCTAAGAATATTTGTAGTTTGTCTTCAGCCCCTTCGTATGTGTCAGGTTCCTTTGCTTTTGGTCGTTGGACGTTTCCTTGTCCTGTATTTCGTGTTACTGCGAGAAATGCCTGAAACTGATTTTCAGTTATTCCAAGTATGCTAGTTCCTGGTGCCGGAGCGGCTGGGGCCGGTGGCCCAGGTACTGCTGATCCCGACATTCTCTCGGGTTGTGGAGTTCCTGCAGGAGAGTTATCAACTGGTGATCCTTTCTCTGGAGTTACTGGGCTTGCTGCTCTCGAGAGTTCTGCTGAGACGTGATCTAGGGCGTCGCTGAACCCTCCTAGGTTAAGGTTCTGATCGTCGATATCGATATCTCCTTCTCTATCTGGATTGAAGGATGCCATCTTGTATCGTTTGGCGTCGCACTAGGTAACGCTTTGTAATGTAATGATCCCTCCTCAGATGGTTAGTTCTTGGCGATAGGGAACGATACTTCTCTTCTCTTACTTCTTCTTCCTTCGTCTTACGATAGCGCTAGGCCTCTGCCTACGTTACCGATAGTACAAGACCTTTGTCTTCTATCAGAATCGCCTATTGTACGCTTTCTCTAACTCTCCTTTGTAAAGAGCCCTCCTCGGCGTAATAATAACATTGCAATAAAGATGAAGATCGTAAAGGTATTTTATATTTGTTAAAGTAATAAGTAGGAAAAGTACTTAGAACAAAGCGTGAAGAACATATCTTCCTCGGCCACATCGGCCTCCTTATATAGTATCTTCTCGCCCGTAGTCATATGACCTAAATTGGTCACATGTGCGAAACCAAATCATAACAAACTAGTCATGTAACCAAATTGATCACATGCTCAAAACTCATGACCTCATAGCGAGGTCATGTTTACAAACTCATAAACCAATCATAATGCAACAAACAAGTCATATGACTCGACTGAGTCATATGCACGAAACCTATGACCTCATAATAAGATCTTGTGCAAAATATAAATCATATGCACAAGGCTTACCCGCAAGGCACACTCGCAAGGCATACTCGCTAGGCGTACGTCCCACGACTCATACTTGAGCCATATGCAAAAGCATCACAAATCCCACACATAACAAATCATATGACCTGAATGAGTCATATACGCAAAACAATAACATGCCTGTGACTCATAACCATGTGTCACGTGAAAACCTTTTCCATGCCAAGCCATGTTCGTGACAGTTATAGTCAAATTAAATGCTATATCCATCTCTCAATACCCTCAGCTCTTTCAAGCTCCAAAGATCATAGCCAAGAGTACCCATGGTAGAAGACACTTGAGCTATTACACAGCCATTTAAGAGCTCCGAGTCAGCTGTACTTCCAACCTGGAACACATGTGGCCATCGACGAGATGATGGTACGGTTTAGTGGATGCAGTAAGCATACTGTACGGATGCCCAGTAAACCTATTCCCGTTGGATATAAGGTTATAGCTCTGTGTTATGATGAGTAAGTTACAAGTATATAGGGTAAAAATTATTGATATCTTGTTAACTCACATACTAATATAAGGAGTAATGTAGATATACTATTGACTGGATGCTTTTTTCACGTATCAAGTCATTTCCAGAACTTGTACAAGATCCTGATTTATCTCCAGCAAGTTCAGCAGTTATGGAGTTATGCAGAAGCCTTAAAAGCGATCATTCTAGCCCTTTTGCTGCTTCTCCATATATTGTTTATATGGATAACGGATTTGTGACTATTCCCCTATTTGAAAAGCTATGAGAGAAAGGCATTGGAGCTTGTGGTACTACCCGAGTCAATGGACCAAAATATCCTCCATTTCTAAAGTCAAGTGATGATTTGTTTGAGTGGAATACCATGGATGGTTGTATTGTTGGTACGACGGCTTCGCACGAAGGTGTTTTGTGCTTCAGGTGGATGGATAACAATTTAGTACGCATGCTTGCTACTGTGCATCCATGGGATGAGGTTACTCTTACTACACGCCGCAAGCCTCGCACTACAAGCTCTAATACAACCTTGGTACGAAAAGCCTTTGGTGAAAAGGAGCGAATGCCCTGCTATATTCCGACCTTTATAGACGACTATAACCACCATATGAACGGAGTAGATCTTGCAGACCAATGTCATGCAAGTTATTCAACCCACCAGAGAGCTAGACGGAATTGGCTAGCATTTCTATACTTCTTTATTGATATCTCTATCACAAATGCCTATCTCCTATTTATGATCACCCGAAACTAGAAACTAAATCATCTCCTTGATTCTTCTACGATATCAAAATCCCAGCTTCTCTCTCATCCCCTCCCCATAGCCTATTCAGCAGAGCTCTTTCGACATACCCTATCCCGGCAACTCTCTTCTATATCGGATTCCAAGGGCAATTCTTCAAATGGTAACACCAGTCGTGGTGGTACTAGCGGTAACCAAATTCCTCCTCGCCATACACAGCCAAGATATAGAGCTATACGATATTACAGGCCCAAGTCATCCCGAATTTTCTTCACTAGGCATAGTAATATCCGCCAACCTTGGACTGCGGTAGAAACTACTAGCTATTGTAATACTAGTTGTTCAACTGCTACTACTACTACTACTGCTACTACAACCCATTCACAATCCAAGAGCCATACCCTTATTGAGATTCCTGGTTGGAAGTGGCGGGAGTGTGCGGTATGCCGATATGCTTTCTGGACAGGGCGAAGAGGAGGGCGTCAAAGACCAAAATTGACTTTGTATCAGTGTGAGGTATGTTCGCCACCGATTGCATTATGTGGCCCTGGAGTTAGGAGTTCTTGTTTTATTCATTGGCATGAAATGGTAAATGGGACTCAGGGCAGGAGGTAAATCAAGATGTATGATAGCTCGACTACTGTACTCTATCGTGGCAAATATTGAAATGTTTTAATCACGTGCATGCTAGCCATATTATCCTTAGCTCTGGGCGCTAATGCATGAGAGAATTTTTACAAGGCTGTCACGACCATCCAGGGGATAGGAGTACTCGTAGGTATGATACAACCTCGGGAGAAGATAAATTGTGTCATTGACATTGATCACTGGTAGCTAGTGGCGGATCCTTTTGGCGTGCAAAAAAAGAGCAGTCATAGCCGGGATACTAGAAAGTAGGTTTGGCTGGGAGGAACCTAGGATTTTTTTTTGGGGGGGGTTAAGTATTATACAAGGTTGAAGCCCTTCAGACAACCTCAAATTAATAAGTGTATAACAGAAGAGCGATACGACCCCATATTCATGACTTATGATAATCTCGTTCAGGACATTGCATCTGGCTTTAAGTCGGGTGTCTGGAGTGGGGGCAGGTAGCTGTGAACGAGCGACAGCAGATGACGCAAATACCGACTGGGCAGCTTTTTATTGAGAGTTTCCTTCATATATAGTTAAGCCTAGTAGTTACGCTGCTGCTATAGCAGATTCGCTGGGGGTTGCAGTCGCCTCAGGAATAATTGGCGGAGGCCCGAGAATAGTATCCTGGATGGCGACGATACAACCTTTTGGACCAGGGACAGGACCTATAGGGATCAATAAGCGTTCACAAGGGAAGTTATTCCGGGTGTTTGCCCACCAAAGAGAAGGATAGTTCCCAATTCCTTGTTTATCTCCATGATTTGAGCATGCGGTCTTGTGACTCGATGGCCGCCCATTCTTCCAGGCATTCGCTTCCCAGGCAAGACACGGGAACCACCACCTTGAGATTGGCCAGCCGAACCCATGGCTCTATGGCTCAAGGAGTTACCATGAGAAGCAGGTTGGCCACTGAAGCCGTGACGTTTCATACCCTATAGACAAATTAACCAAGATTTTTATCAAATTTCGGCATTTGGTAAGGCATACTCCCGCGAATCCACGACCTTTGCAATTGGCTCTAACATCAACATATTGACCCTCAACGAAGAAGTCGGCAGAAAGAGCAGTCCCCGGCTCCATCAATCCTGTTTCATCCTTAACTCGGAATTCTCGTAGGTGTTCTTTGGGCGCGACACCGGCCGTAGCGAAATGGCCCAACATTGGCCTAGTCACATTATTAGAGTTTCTCCAGCCGGAACCGACTTGTACCGCCCAATACCCATGCTTCTGACGAGTTTTAACTGCCGTGACTTGAACTCGCTCGAGTTGCAGGACGGTGCAGGCGATTCGCCTACCGCTTGGCTTGTAGATGGCTGTCATTCCCTTTTTAACGGCTAGGACTCCAGTCCGAGTGGCTAGTCGCTTGCGCTCAAGAGCGGCTGCCTTGGAGCCTTCAAGAAGTTCGGGGGAACCCGAGGAGGATATTCTTTTTGGACGATTGCCGAAGGCATTTGGGACGGTGGTGGTAAATGGCCGGCAGCGGTTCGCGGGCTCTAGTGGTTGGGTCGGCCGGAGGGGGCATGGGCTTCTCCATAGCTGCCGCAAGTAAGGTGTCAAAGATATCCTCGGTGGCATTGCTGGAGAATTCGAGGAGTTGGACACAGGGGAGAAGTTCAGGAAGCAGATCGGAGTGGCAAAAAAATACATTGAAACACGTGCTGTGGCATTTAGTGGGGTGTGGCTGGAGATGTTGGCGGGGCAACGTAAGCCCCATGCATCTCATTCCCTCATTCTACGACCGGACTTTCCTTGTCTCGCTGCATCTTCACAATTTTTCCCAACTCATCACACTCTCCCCTCTCTCTCCCCGAAGAAGCTTTGACAGCATTCCTGTTTTATCCTGACAAACTTTTAATCCGAATTATCGGTCGAAACTTCGCGATGAGTTCAGAACAGCCGGAAAAGGTTCCAGCGGCAGAGCTTGTGAGTGTCACTTGCTTGCTACCTTACTCGTTAACCCCAACTAAGCAAGCCCCCACTAATACTCCGTAGACCGGGGATACTCCTGTTTCAGTGCCCAAGGACGCCGGGGATATCGCAGCTGCTAAGCCAACACCAGCTAATATTCCTTCTTCTGCAAACCCGGCGTCAGAAGTCAACACCTCCTCGGCTCTCGAATCTAGTATTGAAAATCCACCGCCTAAACCGCCGCGTCCAATGTCTCCTCAGCAGCAGGCTCAAGCTACTCTTCAAGAGGCTTTCCCCTCTATTGATGCTACCGTTGTCAAAGCGGTTCTTGTCGCCTCAGGTGGCCAGGTTGAACCGGCATTTACCGCCCTGCTGAGTGAGTTGAATCCTTAAAATCAACCACACGCCATTTATACTAAACCTTCAATAGCTATGAGTGACCCCACTTTCGTAGAAGAGACTCCTCCTCCACAGCCTCCTCGCCCTCCACAACACGCCCAAGTGAGACAGGTTTGGTTACTTTCGTTGCGACTCTATAGAGATTCTAACTTGTCCTAGCCGTATGCGGATCGCCCCGAGCGTCGCCAGGGCCCTGGTGGCTCCCTACCGTCGCCATATGCAACATCTACCCCACAAACTCAACTTGAAGCAGACGAAATTTATGCTAGACAATTAGCAGACCAATTCAGTGCACCTAGGAGAGCTGGAACTGGCAGGCCTCGCCCGGGCGCGAGTACAGCCCTAGATCCAGAATATGAGACAAGTCGAAGAAGAGGAAGATTGCATGATCCAGATTCTGACTATGATTCAGACAAGGAGCATTCGTTCCTTGATGGTTCGTACTGCCGGGTTCTTGATGTATGGCTTTCTCCTGCTGATAGATTTAGACGATCTTCCGGTTATTAAGGAAAACCTCCGCAAAGGTTTTCTTGAAACCCAAAGCAAAGTCAATTCTTGGATCTCTGATTTCAAAAAGAGGCTGGATGGTGACTCTCCCGAGACATCTCCTCCGAGCTCCGCACGGCCTAGTAGCCAGTATACTAGGAGTGGTAGTCGAACTGCTACTGGATTCGAAAATCCCGGAAGGAGCTCGAGAGACGGGGGATACGACGCTGACCCCCGGGTTCTAAGCGATGATTTTACGCATCTTGAGCTTAGGGATAGTTCTGTTCAAAGTATGAGATATTCCTTAGCGATTTAAGGGATGATGTGGCTTTATGTTCCATTGCTAAAATGATATATAGCTCCGCAACCTCGTCGTCCTAGGGCCAATCCTGGATTGTTTCAATCTTCAAACAAGCCCACTGGTCGCAAGGTATCATTTGATGAGCGCCCAGTTACTATTTCCGATGACGATATGTATCGTCCGCCACAGCCCCCTCGCTCTACTTCAGCTGGTGCGCCAGCTCGACAAACATCTCCATCGCCCAGTAAATGGGAGCCCTTGAAGAGTGTGGAGCCAACGCCAATGGATAGGGATCCTTTCTCACTCGGTGACAGTGATGACGAGCGGGATGGCTTAGTAAAGGAGAGCGATGCAGAGCCGGTTTCTGTTTCATCGGCGCAAGAGACTGGCATTATATCCAAAGACACCGCGAAATGAAGCATGTAACGGGGGAATTGGAAAGTTTGATGGCTTTCGTAAAATGATTGTTAGCTATGAGGCTTGTACTTTTTTATTTTTATTTTTATTTTAGCTACTAGTTGGGGTTGTAATGTTTCAAATGAACCTGCATTCTTGAGTGGATTTCACTTGTATCTAGTATTATCGAACCTACATTCTATCTAATGTGACTTAGTACGTAGCTGCAGCAAGCTTCAAAGGCAAAGCTGTACTGAAAATTACTGATAGATTACAAAAATACTTAGGTGAAGGTACTATGAAAGCTATAACGGTACACTTGCTGATTAATCGGGAACCAGAAGAAATTCCCAGTCAGCCCCCGAGAATAGAACCACAGAAGCACGCGAATTGAAATAACCCCGCCCTCTTTATCTCCATTGTTCGCATTGGGGCGTGGAGCAGGGGCGATCTCGCTGCTAGCCCAGCTATTGCTCTCTTCATAACGGCATCTGCGTGAATGGCATCCGGATTAGCACTCCCGCTCTCCGCATTGATATGGCTTCTTTTAGGATGTCCATTGTACTCTACACGGTATTCGGGGGTTTGGGGGGAGATGAATGTCGGGGATGCCTGGAGGATTGATTGTATGCAGTTCTTTGGTGAAGATGTTGTTTGGTTGGGGAGGGACAATGGTTTTGTATGGAAGAATAAAGGGTCGTAAGAAAGAAGGCGGAAGAGCGCTTTTCGCGTTTCAGGAGGACTGGAGAAGCACGATACCGTACAGTATTAAAGAGACAAAAGTTGATTTCGTATGATAGGGTATGCAGCCAATCTTGGAACCGCAGAGCTTCATCGGACCAAAACCAGCCCCTTGGGCATGAATTTACATAACTTAACTTATGCCCTGCCCCTCTAATCTCACCTACTCTAAGTTATCCCTGCCGTAATTCTCAACAATAGGGCACAACCCTCCACTGCCAAGCCCTTTGTTCGGCGAATTTTTTTTCCCTCCCCAAACACTATAAAAGGCCAACGTCCCTCACACTCCTCTTTCCCCCAACATCATCAGTAGAGGTTATAATTGATTTTATTAACCTTAGGAGCTCCGCTACGGCGGCTTGCTGAGCGTTGTCTATTTTCCTCCATGGGTTTCGTTCCGTTCCCGGCTCCTTTGATTGACCCTTCTCCCGCCTGCTTCGATTTCCCTGGTTTTTTTTCGGTTGGGGGAGTTGATTGGTGGGGGGTGGTACATTTTTTTACATTTTTGTTTTGTTTTTTCTGTTTTTATGATAGATACCGTGTTTTCACGTTTGAAATTTTTTTGAATGTATTGGATGTTTTTCGAAGCGTAAGGTGTTGCCATGTTGGAGTTGGATATGATAGATAATATAGTACTTTACTGTACGGTACATGCTGCCCTAGTTATTATATCTCGAACAACGAAAGATCACTCGCTACCAACCCCCAAACAATCATATCGCCGCAAGAAAGGAAATTTTGACTTTTATTACGCGGGCCACAATATGCACAAACATGATTTACATAAAGTTACAACATCCGGGTATTGTGCTCCACTCACTCCTCCTTCGCCTCGACGTATTCCTTCGCCTTCCTCGTCACAGTCTCAGTGCTCTTTTTATCCCCCTTGCTCTTCTCGAACTCCAACCACTTCTTGAAAAGAGCCTTGGCTTGACGGGTCGAAGTCTTCTCAGCGAGAGCCCTCTTGAACAATGCTCTGACACCTTCCTTCCCGTCCTCCTCTTCACTCCCGTACTTAATTTCCATATCCAAGAACATGTTGTATAGATCGCTCTTCTTTTTAAAGGTGGCGAGCAAGTTCTCAAACAGTGTTCGTCCTCTCTCGGGATCACCGCTGCGGAATTCTAACTTGGCAAATTTAGATATGAGGTCTTTGTGCTGGCTTTGCGGGAGTGCTTGCATCGCGCGTTGAAGGAGTGCACGGGCAGCATCGCAGCTTTGCTTGCTGCTGAGGAGAAAGTCGGCGTAGTTTACCCAGATTTTAGGATCTTGGCTGAATTTTTTGATCATTACTTTGAAAAGGTCATCTGCTTTCTGGAGTCATGGAGTTAAGTGTCTGGCTGAGGCTTTGGATCGGGGGGTACCATACCTCAGTCTTGCTAGTTTGAATATAGATACTTGCTAGTTTCTCGTGCATGCCCTGCGCCTCGTTATACTGGCAAGCTCTCTTGAAGGCTTCTTCGAGAGTCTCATCGGTGCCATACATGGATTCCATATTTAGCATAGCGATCCAGACGTTCTGTTTTTCACTTTCCTCCCGAAGGGCGATAGTCTTGATCGCTCTCTCCGCAATCCCCCTAGCTTTCTCGACTTCGCTAAGCTGTAGTTCGAATGACATGTACATGATCCATAGTTTGGAATCGTTAGGGTCTCCAAGGAGGAGCCGTTCGAAGTCAGCGACGGATTGTGGTTCCCTTGTCGCCAGATTTCCTGTCAAATCTTCTTTGATTTGGGCCTTCTTGCGCTTCTTTTTTTTATGCTTTTCCTCTTCGGAGTTGCTATCCCCCTCAGAATCGGTGTCAGGACCGCGTTTGTCTAGGATACTTGCGGACCAGTCGAACCCCCCAGTGCTGAGACCTTCGCTAGTAGGTGCATCGTTCATTTCGACACTAGGCTCCTCTTGCTCTTGCTCTCTCTCGTCAGATTCTCCATCAGCATCACTCTCGAAGTCCTATGGGGAATCAGTTAGAATGGCATTGACATCCAAAATAACCCCAAACATACCTTTACAGCGCTGAGGTCAGCACCACCTTCACTTTCACTACCGTCCTCGCTTTCATCCTCACTAACTTCATCCTTGAAGTAGCTTGACTTCAACCCAAAAGAAATTCTTTTCTTTTCCAGATCAATACTTATAATCTTTGCCTTAACAGGATCTCCGGTCGCATAGAGCTTGCTAATATCATCAATGGCACTATCCGCGATTTGGCTCTTATGACATAGTCCACTGATATTTTGAGAGCCATCCACGCTGATAAAAACACCATATTCCGCGATATTCTTCACTTTCCCCTTGACGATTTGCCCTTCCTTTAGTGAGGAGTAGTCTGCTGGCTTCGGTTTTTCCTTTCCGGATATATCCGATTCTCTAAGGCTCATCTGGACGTGACCCAAGGTGGAATCAACAGCCATGATTTTACCCTTGACGAGCTGACCAACCGTGAATAAACCTTCCCATTCCTTCAAGAACCCATCCGAGAGATCAGAAATCTTGGTCCAGGCTGTGACGTTACCACCTATAGTAACGAAGAGCCCTTTGGGAGAGACTTGCTTCACAAAGCCGCGTCTAATATCTCCGACTTTGACATTCACAATGGCTTGGATTTCGGGATCCTTGACTGGTAGATCTGAGATCATTACACGGGAAGGCCTAGCTGAAAGAGTAACTCGCTTGTTGGGGGAATCAATATCTATGATACAAACGCGAATCACCTCATTTTTGCTGTACCCGTTGGTGTTCGCTTGTGAGAAGTCGTCTGCAAGGTCGGTAAGGCTGATCGGTCCAGAAACTGATTCACTGATTTGGACCAAGACTTGCCGATCAGTGACTTTAGTTACTCTCCCGGGGACAACCATTCCCTTGGCCAACTTGTCAAACGTCAAAGCCGAACTAGAAGGGCTACGAGCAGAAAGATCAAGTTTGCTGTGCTCTGAGTCGACTCGGAGAACTTGGCATTTGAGGGCGCAGCCAACAGGGAAGCTCTTTTGTAGTGTTTTTAGTTGAGCGACATTGTCTGAGAGATCCAGGATGCGAATTCTTCCCCTGATGTCAGGCATGATATTGGCCCAGGCACACTCCTCCGAAATGTTGTTCAAGAACGTTACCCATGTTGAATTAGGGGTAATGTCTTCTAGCTTTGTAATACATCCTTCAATACCCTCTTCCTTTATGTGGCTGGGCTTGGCTGAAAGCTCAAAGATAGGAGTCTTGGTGTTCGATTTTTGGTGGGTGATAGCAAGGAAGCGATGGTTTCGCGCATCATGAATTCCAATAACTTTGGCATCCAAGACGTCCCCTTTCTTAAACAACGCGAGGGGAGACTTTTTGTCCTTGATAGCATCCCAGGTTTCAAACACTAGTGATACGTCAATCCTACCCTGCACGTTGTCGGCGAGTTTCACGTTTAGCTGCGTCTCTTGTATAGAAACGACCTTTGCTTTAGTGAGTTTTCCGGGGGTGTAGTCGTCGATAAGTTTGAACCTCGCGTCAACAGGGTTAACAGTGAGCCTCTCTGAGTTGCCGGCTGTGTTAGCTACGGCCGAGACCTTCTCTTCTGATTTAGCGGAATTTAGCGATAATCGGAATCGTCGCTCTGATGGATCTATATATACCACCCTACCGGTGATGGACTGGTTCTTGACGAATCCGAAATTGGGGAGAGACTGGACTTCTGCTGGAAGGTCCCTTTTGTAAACCACTCCAACTATCCCACCGGCAAACCCAACAAAGAGGCCGTGAAGAGTAGTGTTCCTAACCCAGCCTTTCACTCTTTCTCCCTCGTTCACATCCTCAAATTTGCTGATCATTCTTCCGCGTTTTGCTGCCTTGACTAAGCTTGGCTTCATACTCAAGGTAATCGACCTTCTTTCCTCATGTTTCTCTAAAACCAAGAGGCCATCAAGTTTTTGTCCAGCCCTGAGCTTCTTGAAAACACCTAAGCTCTTCTCACGGCTACCATCGGTTAGTTGTCCAATCACTAGCACACCTCTGATGCCTTCAGCCCCCAAGCCATTTATCTCAACAATAAGATCATCCGCTGACTTTTCGACTACGGTCCCAGAGACAACATCACCAGGAGGTAGTTTGGCAAGAGCCACTTTATGGACTTCACCAAATAGGTTTGGATCTCTGCAGGAAACTCGTAACTTTTGGTTTGTAGGATCCACTGATAACACATGGACATTCACAGATTGGCCAACCGTGAAGTGCTCATGGGGGTCCTGGATATATGCTTCACTCATTTCGGAAATAGGGAGGAAGCCACAGACATCTGAAAAGAACTTGACTACAGCGCCGCTGGGTAGTATTTTGACCAAGGTACCAACTGAGCGAGTGCCGGAACTTGTATCTTCGTAAGATGATATTATTGGGGCGTCGGAGTTCACAATAGCCTTTTTTAAGGTCAACATTACTTTCCTCTTTGAAGGGTCAGTTAATAAAACCTGTTCATCAATTAGTATTGTTAAGAATTGGGCCGGGATAGTCGAAAAAAATTACCCTTGCTTTTACTTCAATACCCTCTCTAAACTTCTTTTCAGGATGCTTGAGTTTGATATCGCTTAGATGAAGCTCATCTACTATTCCGGTGATCCCTTCAGCTAAGCTTACGATAACGCGTCCACTATCTAGGACTCGATTGATAGTTCCCTTCACGACTTCACCGATTTTGATATCCTCCACCCTTAAAAATGGTTGGTCGAGAACCTTCTGCTCCATGCTAACAAGATAGAGGCCATCCATAGAGTTATAACCAATTATTCTAGCCATATGGACTGAACCAGTCTGATGTAGGCCAGAATCCTTAGATAGAACTTCTATTCTGCTGTCGCTTGAGACCCGAGATATATGGACGAAACCGGGAACACCAGGAACGCCGACGTCAAGAGAGAGGCCGGTTTTAGGCTCGATATTAAGAATCTTTGCGGAGTTGATAATGGTGGATGTTGGGAGGATAGTTGTAGGCTCATTCTCAATTGGCCGAGTAAATGAAAGGACGTGGGGGAGGATTGAAAGAGCGAGTTTATGAGGCTCGGCATAAGTAGCAATGACACGCGCTTTGATCTAGAGAAGGTTAGAGAGGCTATACAGAGGGGAGACGTGCTTCGAACTAACCTTTTCTCCAACCTTAAACTTGGATTCAATATCCTTTTCCCTCCAGCCAGAAGCATGAAAGAAGTCCATTGTAGCATCCACAAGTCCCATAACTTTTCCTACGATCCCAACGGCTTTACTACCCTTTGCTATATCGGTGATGAGTACCTCCACGCCAGTCCCGGGTAAAAATGTATCGACTGTAGGCGCAGAACTCAGCCACCAGGCTGCCTTTCCACCAGAGTATTTGCCCTTCTTGCTTGGTTTCTGTTCTAGATCTCCTGAAAGCTTGACAATTTTACCATTTGACGAAAGCCCAATGGTTGTGCAAAGCATCACTTGGCCTTCCTTTGCATCTGTCACCGAACGGCCCTTCCCGAGCTCCTTGGATGAGAGAAACCCTTTGAGATCATTCCCGATACCCAAGTTCATAACGAGACCGTGATCCTCCACACTTGTGACAGAAGCCTGAACAGTACACCCAACGACTAATTCAGTAGTTGTAAGGCCGTTATTGGCCATAACCGGATCCAAGGATAGCTCGATCCGCTTCTTAATTTTCTTGGAGCCTGAAGGAGATTTCGAATTGGCAAGTTCTGAAGAAGACACAACGTACGCTCGGAGATATTGCCCGATCTGGAACATAGCCTTGAGGTCAACATCGTCCTCACTAGATTCCGATTTTGCTGTTCCGATCTTTTCCTCTACGTCCTCATCTTCGTCGTCATCGCTATCCCGGACTAAAGCTTCAACCCTCTTGTTCAACGATTCCGAAATAGAAGTGAGAGGAACAAAGCCAGTCAGATTATTTGGCAAAGAAAGGGCGAGGTCGGTTTGATTGATTTGAGAAATGCATCCAAGAACAAGTGTTCCCGGTACTAGTCTCTACGAATTGATTAGCATTTCGTGGTTAATACCTCTGGTAAGAGAATACCAACCTTATAGCTCAATCCTTCTGCTTTAATTCCCTTTTGTTCACCTTTCTTGGATTCATCCCTTTTACTCTTTTTATCTTTCTTTAATTCTTCTCTCATCGGCTTCTTTTTGGTCGATTTGGCCTTCGCATTTTCGGCTTCGAAAAGGACATCTTTAGCAGCATCATTGGATATTTGTTTGAATTCCAACGGAGTAAGAACAGAGCCACCACCTCTTGGGAAAGATGTTTCTTCGTCCTTTGAGGAACAGAATGTTGATAGCTTTGGTGGCTCAAATTTTGAAGCAGCTGTCGATGCCTCGGGTTTCAGCCTCTTATTTGCAGTTGCAGGGTTTTTTTTCGTTTCGCTCTTATTCGCTCGGCGCGGATCCGCGTCTTGAGGGCGTTTTCGCTTCTTTTCGGAGCCCATTGTGTGTTGATAGTATGGTGGGGTCTGTTCGGGGGTTCGAGGTGGTGGGGAGAGATCAAATGGTTTTCTAAAGTTTTTTTTTTTTGCTATGATGCTATGGCGAATATGGCTAACAGAATATCACTATGCTCCCGAGCCAAGACTTCGCCAAAAAATTTTCCCACCCCCTTTCGTACTAGTATGGTACATTACCGGCATGATAATCCAAATTTCTTTCCTGGATAAAGGTCTTGGCGTGAGAACTTGGCAAAATAACTGAGCCCCAACTCTCGGGAGTCTCAGCAATCACTCGATCCCCATTGTCCACCGCTTGAGACATTAACAAACCGCTGATAGGCCACTACCCACAACTTGCATACGGAACTTACCTTTCCTCACAAAGATACTTTCCAGCTATTCTACTAAGACACTGCGCTCAGGCACATCGGTCTAATATGGTAGACTCCTTTGCAATTAATGTTCAACAGGTATGCGCGCTCTGCCTCAAAATTTTCATATCAACTGGGCTATCATCCCTAACTCCCAGGCACCAACCGTGCTGGAATGCGAAATGGAGCTTTGTTGAATGAATACAGTACTCACTATTTTGAAATAGATGATGTTGGCTCCTTCTGATGCAGGTTATATAGATCAGCTGATCTCTACTGTTGGAGATGCTTGCACCTTAGGTCGTGAGAGACAGCTTATGGGGGATCTGGCTCGATTTTCGGAAAAGCAGGAGGCCGAGGTTGAACGACTATGTAACAATAATTACCAGGACTTCGTTCAATCAGTTAACCACCTTCTCAGTGTACGAAAAGGCACAGTTGACTTGGCTAAAGAAATTATTGAACTAAACGAAGCTATCCAGAACTCTACCGAACGGCTAGTGGAAAAGAAAAAGGCTCTGGTCAACTCCCGAGAGGTCCGAGAGAACATCGATGAAGCAACAAAAGCTTTGAAGTCATGTCTAGAGGTTTTAGGGCTGGCAAACCGAGTTGGAGACCTTTTGCGAGAGAAGAAACGATATGCAGCTTTAAGAGCCTTGGAGGAATTGCAGAGTGTGCGCTTAAGAGAGGTTGCGCAATTTGAGATTGCTGAAATAATTCAGAAATCGGTTCCATCCATAAAAATGATTGTCAAAGAGGCCGTTATGACAGACTTAAATACCTGGCTCTACAAGGTCCGAGAAAATTCAATGCTATTAGGACAGGTAGCTTTCTATCACACTGACCAACGCCGGCGTCGACAGAAGGAGAGGGTGCAGGGTATCTCCAATTTGCGATCGCTCAAGATTAACTCTGCGTTAGAACTTGTCCTAGATGAGCGAGAAGAGTTTGATGTTCTCGACAACGAAGACATAGCTATTGACTTCACACCCTTATTTGAATGCTTGCATATACATGAAGCGATGGGACAGAGGGATGAGTTTAGGGTTACATACGCAAATGTTAGAAGACAACAGAAGGATCTCCTGTTTTCGAACCCACTTACCCTTACAAGTGAGGGCGTAAGCTGTATCAGTCGTCTGCTGGAAGATGTGTGTGGTTTTGCAATAATTGAGAAATCTACACTTAAGAAAACTTTGGGTTTTCGTTCTCCAGTTGATGTAAGCAGCCCCATTTCTTAATCACTGGGCGTAGCTCGTTTGGGGGACATTTACTGCTAGAATTCACGTTCCAAGCGCCCTCATATTTTCGCTCTATTCAGTCCCTCCTCCCCGAGTTTGAGTGCTGATGTTATCATAGGTTGATTATTTATGGGACTCGATGTGTAAGAAAGCGATAGTCATGATAAATCAAAAAGTGGAAAATGTCACCAAGGCAGAGATATTATTGAAAATAAAAAATGTATCAGTCTTGTTCATACAGACTATGGATGTTAGTGCGCTTCTTTCTACACTACTTCTATTTGCTAATCTGCAACAGACCTGGGAATATCCCGTCAAGCACTTTGACGAATTCCTTCTCGGTCTTTTTGATCAGTACTCAGAATGCTTGAAGAGGGACTTCATCAGCGAGTTCAAAAAGGTATGGGGTTCATAATAGCTTGCATATGGTTTCTACTATTTCAGAATCTGAAACTAAATAAGCGTCACTCAACTGTAGATTGCAATGAGCGACGACTACACACCTATGGTGGTTGAGAATCGGCCAAAGTATGACAATATTGTGAAATCGGTCTGGTACAATCCAGACAAAGATCCTGAAATTATACAGTATGTGCTCTGCATCATCAAAATTTGATACCGGATAACCGTGACTCAACAACAAGTTCTACTAGATTTCCAACAGCCATGCCTTTTTCGCGGATATATCCACTTTGCTGTCGCCATATCCGCGATTTACTTGAGAAATACTACTTTTACGCAGATGAGTATTTCCAAAACCAGGGCGCCATTGATCGGGAGCTACAGAAGGTTAGTTGCGCTAGCGTGTATACTAGCACAGATGCATAGCTGACTTTATAAATCTTTAGTCCCTTGACGAACTGCTATGCGAACACGTTTGTGGCACTTTGGTGGAGCACTTGAACTCACAGTATCTTGGACAGATCGTTCAAATCCTCATAAATCTTGAGCATTTCGAATATGCCTGTCAGGAGCTTGAATATCTCCTTGCAGAGGCTTGTTATGCCAACGAGACAGGGGCCATAGCTCTCAAAGCAACAGAGCGATTCAAGTCCGAGAAGAAAACCGCAGAGAAGAGAATATTCGAGCTTGTGAACAGCAAGATAGATGATCTCATTGGGACTGCCGAATACGATTGGATGGCCACCAATGAACAGAGCCAGCCTAGTGAATATCTACAGCAAACCACACTTTTTTTGAGGAATAACATGAACTCCACGTTGTTGAATTTGCCCAGAGAAATCCAGGGGTTCATTTACTTTGATGCCTTGAACCATATCGCAACATCTATACTTGTAAGCCTCGTCGGAGTGCTCACTCTGGTGGCGAAAGTCGGGGGTCGCTGATTACATATCACTAGGCCTTGCCCCTGAGCGAAGACGTAAAACGGATTAACAAGATTTTCGTTCACAACTTGGACATGGATGTCAAATATCTTCAAGGGTTTGTGGATAGCCTCAATGATCCAATGCTCCCTACAGTCTTCGATGAGCTCAGGCAAACAATCGACCTCCTGAAATCCGACAACTCGGACGAATTCTATAACATCAGCACCAAGATGAAGAAATACGCGAATGTAGATCCGATCAATGGGCCGGTATTATTGGAAAAGTAAGCTCTATTCTTTTCTCCCTCTTTATTACCAACCATTGGATACTAACTGCAGGTTAACTTAGATTGCTCGCCGAAGATGCATCTGCCAAGAAAGGGCTCACTGGACGGTTTAGATCGTGAGAAGGTTACAATGGGGGCACGTTCGAGACTTCCTTAGACACAAACCTCCACTACTATTATACAAGTGGATTTCTTACATAACAATTGCGGCCGGTTCCCCTGTTAAGGTGGAGTCGAATGCCCCTCCTGTGATGATAGATCTGGGGAAGAGGCGACCAGTATAAAGAAAGAAATTTCTGTCTTGTAAATTGAGTAAGGTAATAAATATGATAAGAGATGGTGGTACTACCATAGCCTTAAAGAGATTAAGAGCCAATAGTCTAATAATCAACAATAATCTGCGTCTATGGAGGGGGTGCTTGGGTCGTGGGGTGCTCAATGGTGAAGCCAAGATGTGAGGGCATCGCACCTTGAGGGACACGGGAAAACCCCTCGAACAGAATTATGGTCTGTGTGGATTGCCTTTTGAGGTGGTATACGAGTACGAGTACCGTACTGTACAATCTGGAGATGAATGATAATGATTTCCTGTAAGGGCATGCGGCTCTGCTGGGTAGAATCCTTGGCACTAAACTGGAACCAACGAACCGAAAAGTAATCCCAATTCCAAAAACCCTTGTCTCACCAAAACTATAAACCGCACCTCCGCCATTAAAAAAAAAAAAACAACCGCACAACAATGGCGCCTCCTTCCAACCGCCGAAGAATGCGCAAGAATCCGCGCGATCGAGCGCAAAATGCCTTCGCAATCGCTTCGGCTGAATTCTCCGAGGAGCCTTCCATTCCAACTAGCAGGCTCGGGAATCACTGTCCTTCTCGGTCCCGAAGAAATGACGGCGACAGCGAGGAAGGTGGGGGTGGTGGAAAGGACGGCGTGGATGAGATTGACCGCGGCAGCGACTCCGAAGGGAATGAGTGGAAGATAGGACATATTGACAACGAGGATGATAGCGATATTGACAGCGACGAGGCAATGGGTGAGAGCGACGAGGAGAGGTTTGCGGATTTTACGTTTCGGGGGAGTACCTCTACCGGGAAAGAGAAAAAGAGCAAGTCCGGGCAAGGTTTAGAGGAGGAGAGTGGGGGTGATGATGAGAGTAGTGAAGATGGAGAGGGGTTTATAGATTTGTCGGAGATGCTGGATAGGCCTGATTCTGGAGACGAGGAGGAGGCGGTCGATGGAAAGGCGAAGAGGAAGCCTCAGCGACCAGTCTCTGACGACGGAGAGGGAGAGGGTGATGAGCTTAATGATAGCTCTATGAACAGTGAATCTGAATCTGGAGATGACGACGATGGGGATTTGGTTTCCGACTTCTCTGAAGAGGACGAGACACTAGAAGACCCCTCGAAACTTGCAAAGCTTCAAGAGATCATATGTTCGCTTCCTTCGACAAAATCGCCAAGGAGAGCTCGAGAAAATGATCCCAATGAAGGGAAGACGCCGAATGAGTACAATTTAACTATATCTTCAACCTCTGATAAGCTCACTGTGGAGGACCTCATGCCCACCATCACCGATCCCAAGCTCAGGCAATCGCTCGAGCTCGTTGCCGGCAATCCACCGCCAAAGTCCAGTAAGCCAGGAGTACAGGGGAAGCTCTCGGCCCCACTGGCAAAGAGGCAACAGGACAAGTTAGATCGGGCAGCAGCCTACGAGAAGTCAAAAGAGGCGCTCGGCCGCTGGACAGATACAGTGAAGCATAGCCGACAGGCGGATTATCTTCATTTCCCGTTAGCCAATGCGCCTAATGCACGGTTGCCAGCACCGAGGAAAGTCGCTGTGCTTTCGGCTTCTGAGCCTACCCCGTTAACCGAACTTGAAGCTACTATCTCTGGAATACTGAAGGAGTCGAATATGGCTTCCGAAAAGTCTATCAAGGGGTTTGAAGAGCTGAAAACGAATAAACTATCCGTGGAGGAGGTCCAGAAACGTACAGCTGAGCTTCGGCTTGCGCGCGAACTCATGTACCGGGAAGAGATCAAGGCGAAACGTATCAAGAGGATCAAGTCAAAATCCTACCACAGAATCCTCAAGAAAGAGAGGGGAAAGCAAAAAAACGCCATTGAGGAGGCTTTGGCTCTTGAGCGTGGCGGTGCGCCGAGTGAAGAAGATGTTATGGAGAGGGAGAGGAAAAGGGCGGAAGAGCGAATGACTTTGAGACATAAGCAGAGTAAGTGGTCTAAAGGGATAAAGGACTCAGGAAGGACTATGTGGGATGAGGAAGCGCAGAATGGTGCGGTAGAGATGGCAAAGCGCTCAGAAGAGCTTCGAATGAGGATTGCTGGGAAGGAAGTTCTTGGGGAGGACGAGGAGTTTGAGAGTAGTGGTGATGATGAAGAGGATGACTTGTTTAACGAAGATCAGCAGCAAGCAAAGCAGCGGCTACTTGCAGATCTAGAAAAGCTGGAGAATGGAAGTGATACTGCTAAAGGTCAACGCAACAAGAGTAAGTTGATGGACCTCAAGTTCATGCGAAATGCCGAAGCTGCTCAGAAGAGAGCGAACAAGGCCGAAATGGAGGGTCTACGGCAGGCTTTGGAAGGTGATGATAAGTCAGATAAGAGTGACGGGAGCGAGGAGGAAGTTAACGATACTGGAAGGATGGTCTTCACAGCTGGGAGGAAGAAGAAAGAAATAGCCAGGAAGCCCAAGCCAAACAAGTCTGAGTTCGAGGAGGCTGAACACTCGAGTGAGGGTGAGGATGGCAAGGATAGTCCGGATGAAGCTGAAGTTACAATGGTGAACAAGGCGGCTTCCAATATACTCAAGAATCCTTTCTCGCAACCTGGGATATCACCTCTACAGTTTTCTAACCAGAAAGCGGGGGCTAGCGAAAAGCGCAGTACTTCAGCCAGGCCTTTACCCGGAGGAGAGAAGGGGAAGGTGGCCCCAGAGCCTAACCCATGGCTTACTCAAGACACCACTTCCAGCCTCGTTAGACCCAAAGCTCAGGCCTTGGTAGCTGGGAGGCAAGAATCCAAGAACGCAAAGACAAACTCCAAGCTCTCCAAGGATCGAAAAAAATCACTCAAAGACCGTGATGGCCCCGGATCGGATATCGAGATTGATGTGAATGCCACACTTAAACTTGCCTCAAACAAGCGCAGGGCCGGCGGCGATGGCGATAGCGGCGGCGAAGAGGGGGATGAGGATGACGAAGGAGCTATCAATCTGGTGCCAACCAAAGGAATGAATGGTGTGAATCTTGATCAACGGGAACTTGTGAAGCGGGCTTTCGCAGGTGACAACGTTGTCGCAGAGTTCAAGGCAGAGAAGAAGAGAAAGATCGACGAGGAGGGCGACCAAGTAATCGATACTAGGATTCCGGGATGGGGTAGCTGGACCGGAGCAGGTCTTACAGAACGAAAAGGAAAGAAGGACACTAGGTTTTTCAAAACGATCAAGGGCGTTGATAAAAATAATCGGAAGGATAAGAAGCTTGAGAAAGTTATCATCAATGAGAAGCGTGTGAAGAAGGTATGAAACTGTCGGGTTGATTATATTACCAATAAAGCTAACGCTCTCCTTTAGAACGTTAAATATCAAGCATCTGCACTTCCTTTCCCCTTCGAATCTCAGCAGCAATACGAACGCAGTCTGCGTATCCCCATTGGGCCTGAGTGGACTACGAAGACGACGTTCCAGGATTCTACAATGCCAAGGGTTATGGTCAAGCAGGGTACTGTTATCGAACCTATATCTGCGCCGTTCAAGTAGTTATGGTTGATGGGTGGGTTTATTGCATGATAGTTATGATATTGAGTTGTAGATGGCCTAAAAGTGTTTGATTTTGCGCCGGCATATCCAGTATTCTAAATCCAAGCGTATCCAGAAAATCGAGTGTGACGTGCAGTAACTTGTCCCAGCTGGGCATGAAGTTCCGGGAATCCCATGCCCCCAGAGGGTTAGGGTTGGCCTCCCAGACGCTTGTCTCAACGTCATGTCATCCCTTCCAAACACGCATCCATCACCACATTCCGCCCCGCTGGACCAATAATAATGTCTTCAAGAATACCCCCTCTCCTTCGAATACGGTCTCCGTTAATACGTTTTTCTAAGTCCCTCAGAACCAATCCCACAAGACCCCACTCAACTACTAGCTCCGTCGACCAAACCGAAATCTCACACTTCGCAAACCTAGCCTCAACATGGTGGGACCCTCACGGTTCCTCTCGTCTCCTCCACTTAATGAACCCAATCCGTCTCTCCTTTATCCAACGCTGCATTCTCAAAGGTTCGCCAATACCAGCCACCTCTTCCACACGTACATACACGGAAAAACTCGACCCAACAGTGGCGGTGCAGGACGCTGATAACCCCCAGAAGCTCTGTTTCCTAGACATAGGCTGCGGCGGCGGAATACTCACGGAGGCGCTCGCAAGACTACCGAGCACAGAGTCCGTCGTGGCAATCGACCCGAGCAAGGAGGTTCTCTCCGTCGCACTTGAGCACGCGCGACAAGACCCCATGCTCACTGGGAGCAAGCTTCGCTACATTAATACCACAATCGAACAACTCCCAAAAGAACTCGAGGGCCAAAGAAACCAATTTGACGTTGTTACGTTAATGGAAGTCATAGAGCATGTCCCGCGTCCGAGCTCGTTCCTGAGGACCACCATGGAGCATGTCAGGCCTGGGGGGTGGCTGGTGTTGTCCACGATCGCCAGGACCTGGGCGAGCTTTTTGACGACAAAGTTTGTTGCTGAGGATATTCTTGGAATCGTACCGAGGGGGACCCACGATTGGAATAAGTACATTAATGCGGAGGAGCTGGGGGAGTTTTTTAAAGAGACGGGGGGGTGGGGGGATGTTCTTGTTATGGGATGCGTTTATGTGCCTGGGTTTGGATGGAGGGAGGTTAGGGGTGGAGAGAGGGTTGGGAATTATTTCTTTGGAGTAAGGAGGGGGCTAGGTGAGGGGGTGGGAGGGAGATGATGTTTCCTTTACTCTCTCTTCCTGGCAGGTTTTCATAATGCGGCATTTGAGTGGTTTTGATAGAGCTTTCTGGTGGAGTTCTTTACTTTTGCTTTTAACTAGACCTGAGGGGTATTGCCTCTAGTTACGCTATTCCGAGAGTTTGTAAGGTGAGCAATGTGTTATGTATGGCCCCCCATTTTTCTGGCCCCATGGTCATATACTCGACCCGAACAGGTGCCTCCACCCAGTGATGTTTCGTGATACAATCCCTACAGCCAAAATCGCCACGATGGCAGTGCCCTCTTCCTGAGGAAGGCTGAGCTGTGGGTGGGGGCTCATAAAGTGCCCTCCTCCGCCAACTAAACTAAGCGCTGGTGGACTGGATGTTTTTTTGGGGGAGTGGTGGAATAGTGATTCAAGGGTATCCGAATCAAAGAGTGTGGCGAAAGGGTCCCCAGACCGTCACCTTTGAGTATGTAAGCACGATTATACCGCGACAAGCTATCGATTCCAGATTTAAAGTTATCGTCGGGGCAGACATGTGCGTGAAGCCTTAGTCCCATCATACCAGAAAAAGGAAGTTCATTCAAACTAGCTGGGAAATCGACTGATAGCTCCCTGTGGCATTGTGCTTGCGGTGTATATGTGTTAGCAGGAGATTTTATCCGGACACCATCGAATCCCCGCGATATCTTGTGGGTCTTTTGGATCTCGAAGGATTGGGGAATTTTTCGTAGAAGACTGGAGCGTTTCCTTCCGGCGATGCCGCCAATCCTAACTAAAACATTTAAATTAGTTCGTGGCTCGGAGCGGGTACTTAGCGGGGTGACATCTGCACAGGACATGATGAGGACTGAAGCCGAGAAGGGGGGACGGTAACCTCCGTTTGCCGATCCAGGTGCTTTTTTGTGCGGATCGAGAATTCTTACGATACCTTTGGGGTTTTCAACAAGGAGCAGATATTATATATAAAGCATGGGCTAACTCCTCTGCGTATCGATCGCGGCATGTGCTTCGGTGGGAGATAATACCGCTGTGTCCTGCTGTGTCTATCATACTCACTTCTTTTCGCCTTCACCTGGAGGGAAAAGGATTTCTGATCATTTCTCACTTGGGCATATTCGCCGCTGCTATGGCGATACCCCGTTATCTGTGGTAGTCTTCTGCTATTTGTCGGTGGGTTGTTAGGACATCAACGTAGTACTGGTACCATACCCTGCGTATGGGAGTATGGAAATGAACAGGAGATTGTTTTTGTTCTCCTGACCCTGCGCGCCTGTCCCCTCCCCTCGGTTCAACCATGGGAAGTGAGTGGTCCATTCGCATATTAAACTAGTCATATTAAGCTGTTGCATGTAGTCTCTAGAGGGAAGTGATACGGCTGTGTTCTGCTGGGTATTTGGATCATCATCGGCATCCCCAACTTTTTCTATTATCATATGACGATTCTTGTTATCACGGCAATAGCCGCAGACTTGTGGTATGATACTGCATCCTCATATTTCCCGAGATGGTAGGCTTCCCCCCCCACTCCCCGCCCCTCCCTTCCGTTCACTCGATACCAATAGGGGCATGAATAGTATGGCATTTGGAGGTTTTAGGGAACAGACCATCTCAATAGCCTACAGCCACCGCCGTAGGTGACTGATTATTGAAACCTCGGATCTACGGAGGTTTTGCCCAACCACAGGGTTGAGCGGGAAGTTCGCGCAGGGTCACACCCTCCCCCCCACCACCATTCTTGGCGATTTTCTCTAGCGAGACATGCCCGGCGAGGCTATCTAATAAGAACCCCTAAACACCCGTATCCGGAAGTGACCATCGTAGAACGCGATGGTTTTTCCCACCCGAGTGACGAACTGTGCGCCTTTTGCCCCATCATCCCTAGCCAATCAATACGAGCGGATGAATTATTTCTGCTATCATAGCCGGTAAATAAACAGCGCTCGTGTGGCTATGATACACAATGCCATATCGAAAGTTGGAGGTCCGGTGGAGTAATGTGGGTCTGTTTAGGGGGTGAAGTAGGTATCTCGACCGGGGAGGGGAGGGGGGGTAATAAACAAGAGAAGTCAAATCGCAGACTTTGGTTACCGGTTGTAAACCATAAGGCTTCTAGAAACATTTCCCTCCGAGAAGCGGTCGGTATAGGAATACCGTTGACGAGGGAATATATATACACAAGATAGGATTTGAGTGGGGCATGTGAAAACCCCCCTCACACGTCTTAAGATCATGATAAAATGATAAAAAGTATGATAATATTATAATAGAAGAGTCCTACACAGTTTATGACACATACAATAACACCATTCGAGATATCACGTCAGGCTCAAGTCGGCTTCACGGGCCTCATGGTCGGACAGCAAAAAAGTTCCTGCGTCATAAATTAGCAGCCGTACAGTACATGTTACGAATTGAAGGCTTTTGTTGTGCAGCGGAAGGTTGATTTTTGTTAAGTTATATGTCTAGCTAAGCGGAACAAGAACGGTATATGAATACCCCATAGCAGTGACGTAACCCATGATGTGGAATACACACTTCCACGTACAACCCTCCATACGCAATAGTGAGAAGGAAGCCTACACACTTTCCTCACGATACCTCTACGCGGAAGACCAATTCTCAACAGTGCACACCGTGGCTCGAACGAGTGATAGGTGGTGAATATCTAGTTGAGTATCCATGCTCCCCGGAAAAAGGGAAAATGGACATAAAAATCTTGCATTTCTACAAGAACGCTGTATCATACAGAGTTCTGTAATCACCCTCGTGTCCGAGCAGGAATGTAGAGTTTTTTTTTTTTAGTAATTTGGGCTTGCAGAGTCATTAGCTCTTTGATGTGATGTCCCTCGGAAATAAGCCCGCCGTCCGCGCCCAGTTATCGACCCTCAAGTCCATTTGGAGGAGGAGATATGATAGCTTGCGTAATAGGAGTGATATATGATATCCCCCCCACACACCCATCATATCGTACCGCGGGGGGGGGGGGGGCAAGGGGCAAAATGACTGCCTGAGTCAAAACGGAAATACGGATTTTGTAGTATAATAAAGGCAAGGGGATAATTTTTAAAACCCCAATCATCACAAATCTCCAACACACTCTGATATCATAACATATCGCGACTCGTAAGCAATAAAATACACATCGAATCATCGCATTCCTCTTCAACTATACATTCTTATATCGTATACCGAAACCTCGGCCTGCGATTGCTCCTATTAGTAACCACCTGTGAACTGGGGGGCGAACGGAACCCACGATTCATCACCCAACTCTGCAATATCTTCTTCGCTCAAGCCAACGATTTTTGCATTTTCCTCGCCACGTTCTCGACTGATGTTTAGTTTTGAGAACCAGTGCTGTGAGGTGTCAGTACTAAAACGGCGGAGGGGGCGCAAAGGAGAAAAATACGGAATACTAACCCACAGGAAAGTGTAAATGATAGCCGCAAAGCCCACCATTGATAGGGATACTGCATGGCCCTTTGTGTATCTGCTTGTAGCCTTAGTGTATGATTCTACCACCAGTAGAGCAGGCAAAATAAGCAAACCTCGGAGAATCTTTGGACACATAAATCTATTCACCACAAGTTAGCCAATTCAACCAAATTATTACAACAGCGAAACTTACAAACGGCGCCATAATCCCACTCGCGTTCCCTACAGTAAGCTGAAACCCCGACGCAGCGGCCCTCTTCCCGTACCTGGGGCAATTGTTCGGAAGCCAAGCTAGCGGCAACCCCACAGACACGTACAACCCTATAGCAACGAGGAAGCAACCAAAGTAATGCGCACCACTGGGAGCGTCGGATAGGAGAATCCCGTACCCGACGATGGAGATGCAAGCGAAGCTTACGGTATACATACCTCGGCGTTGCTGCTTGTCAGAGATGTGTGCTACGATAAGGTATGTGAGTGCGCCGAGGGCGTAGCAGGGGATTGTAAGGGCTTGGACTTGTGCTGTGGACCAGTGGCCAATGGCTTTTATGATTGTGGGGAGGAACGTGCTAAATCCTGGGGGTGGGGTTAGTATGGAAGCTAGAGGAGTGGAGGCAAAGATGAGGGAGGGACCGTATAGCATAGTGTCTATTCCGAACTGCGCGAATGCACTGCTGTCATTAGCCCAACCACCCTCCACGGTAGATTTTCTCGGGAAAGGAAGCATACAACGCCCAACATTTCCAATCCAAAAAGCACTTCCTAACATCCCCCCAGTGAAACTCCTGGGCGCTGGTAGTCTGTGTTACCTCTCGCGCTCTCCTGGCAATCATGAACCTCTTCTCCTCCTCGGTCAAGTACCCCGCCTCCTCCGGATTATCTGCCAGAACAAAATACGTCACCAACCCGAGCACAATCGTCGGTAATCCCTCGATTATAAGGATCCACCGCCATCCCTTCATTCCACTCCTCCCATCTAGGAAGCCGATCCCGTAGGCTAAGAGACCCCCGCAGGCACCGGCCAGCGCAGCAGAGACAAAGAGATAGCCGATGCGTAGGGCGAGCTCTTTGCGGGTATAGAAGAATGTAAGGTAGACTGCTAGCCCGGGGAACAAACCAGCTTCTACGGCGCCGAGGAGGAGACGGCAGGCGAGGAGGCCCCCGTAGGAGTTCACGAGGCCGGTACAGGTTGCGATAATGCCCCAGATTGTGGTTATCGCTGCGACTGGGATGAGTTAGTTATGCACGCTAATTGATGGGTGTCCACGGGTTAGGAGGGTTACTGTATCGTCTGGGCGTCAACTTTTTTAATACAAGGTTACTTGGGATCTCAAATACCTTTGTATGCGACAATTGTTAGCCTTCCATCCCTGCTTCCCCCCGCTCTAGAAAGGGGATATAACGGACAAGATATGTCACGAACAAAATCGAAACTGAGATCTGGAATTGATTCCCTTTGAGTCCCAAATCCTCCTCCAATCCATACAACCGGGCATTACCAATGTTAACCCTACCAACCACCATGACCAATCAGTCATTAGCCCAGTCCTCCTCGATAGCGAAGCAAAAAGAAAAGAACCAAACCTATCCAAGAACGAAAACAAATACAAAAGCATAATCATAGGAACAATGTGATTATCCAACTTTCGCACCAATTTCTTTTCAAATTCATGGTCCACCCCGCCCTCAATTGAACCGGGTTGCCGCACCTGCACGCGGCCAAGAGATGAGTCGGTTGATTCTTTCCCCATGCTTTGAGAGGTTTGGGGTGTTCACGATAGGTCAATCTGCCTCGAGACAAGGAAGAGAAAGTGGATGAGGGGCAGGGAGGATATACTGTAAGCAGAAGCGCAAAAAGAATCAGGACGGAACCCTAGAGGCAGATACTGGTAGGTAGGCATGTACGAGTACTCGAGTATGGCTCCGGAGCAGACCTCATTTGGCTATATCATCCGACAAGCTGGCTAAAGGACGGCAGACCTTCCCTCCCTTCTTTACTCCCCCATCCCGCCGATCCCTCAGACCCATCTTCCCTGGGTTTTTTGATTCCCTTAAAGTACTCGTACTCATACAACACTGTGAAGTCACCGCCATGAAGCAGATTATGATCAACAGCACCGCTCTTGGCAGGTCATCGCTTGACCGGCGGGTGCGGCGTTTTTCTTTTTCCTTTTCGAAGGGTAGACTAGTGCCGTTACGGTATTGTAAGTCAACGGGGCCCACCACACCGTTGCGATGTGCGTGCTGATATGCACGAGCGGTACCGGTAAGCTTGCCGTCCATGATAAAGCTCATACTATGATAGCCTTTAAGGCTCGGAAAGTGCATGGGGGGGATTTTCCCGGAGAAATACCGGTATCCTCGTAACTCGAGGTTGGTTGATAGTTGTATCGTATCATAGGCTCACAGTGCGGTATTGGTGGGATATGATGCGATTACGGGGTACAAGAGGTTTTGTGGTGATGTTGTTGAAAATTCACTAGAAAGCACAGGATATTCTCTGCCGCTGCGTAAATTACGAGTAGACTAAGAATTAAGTTACTCGTACGGTACTTGTATCTGGTAACCTACGCGGGAGGCTTGTTGGGCTTTTTGGTGGCTTCCCGCTGATTTATGCTTGGCGGAGGATGGAGTTGCATATTGTATCACATGATGTGAGTTACCAATATCCGAACTGATTACCAGTAAGTTATGTAATACGGTAATAATATCATTATCATTAAAGTTGAGTGAATCAAGTACAATACCGGTAGGGGTCAACAAATAGTAAAGGGTGCTATGCTGTATGCTCGACTATGGGGAACAGTAAGCAGCCTCCCACGAGTGCTATCACCAGCAGAAGAGTGAATACTGTAGAGATAAGGTATCACCTCATTCATACTCGTACTGTACCGTATGAGTACTCTACAGGTGCATCCTCCACCAGTCACAAGCATTGAACCCAACCCATGCGCGGTATGGGGACCCACATGCTCTACGGAGGTACAGCGTATAAGTTTTGTAGATTTTGCTAACAGGGGTCTGCTGCAGACAGGGGGGTAAGTGCAACAAATCTAGTATAGTGGCTTGGAGCCGGTCAATGAGTGCAACTTGAACGGAAGTCATGAAGGTACAGCACAACATGAAGATACGGTGCCATAAGAAGGTTTATTCTACTCATACATATCTAATATTTCTTGAAGAGGCCATTTGCCTGAATAACGGCTTGACACCTGGCTGGCATGCTCTCTATCAGCTCCCTAAATTCATGCCGCCCAAGAAAACCCCAAGCTTTCTTAACTGCATTCCTTAATCTATCATATGTCAGATTCTCTGAAAAATTATCCTGTAAATAATTTTTCATGATATGTGTAACAAGCCCTCCTTGGATAGTTAGTTCTTGGCGACGGGGAACGATACTTCTTGTTTCTGTCTTCTTCTTCCTTCGTCTTACGACAGCTATAGGCCTCTGCCTACATTACTGATAGTACAAGACCTTTGTCTTCTATCGGGAACGCCTATCGTAAGCTTTCTCTAACTCGTCTTCGTGAAGAACCTTCCTTGGCGTAACGATAACGTTACAATAAAGATAAAGATTGTAAAGGTGTTTTATATTCGTTAAAGTAAGAAATAGGAAAAGTACTTAGAATTTAATCTAATTTTATTTATACTAGTACCGCCGACACCGGCATACGACCAGTCTCCCCCACGCCCCATAAAACAACTATCTAAAATACACTACTGCGGACCATTCCGCCTCGCAATCACTCCCCCCAAACATAAATCCAAAAATTACTACCTAAATGGGCTCACGGGCGCTCGCAGCAACTAGTGCTATCCCGGATTAACGCGTCTTCCCACCTCGCTTCCCAGCCACCGTCTCATACCCTTACTCCTATTCACCTCCAACACAATCTGTCCCACGTATTCCACAAAGGAAACATACAGTCTATCCCAACATCCTTCCGTCCTTTTATAGTGTGGTCCCAGGTCCACGTACCCCTCGGTCAGAACCATCCCACAAAATGAACAACGCGCTTCTTTTAACAACCCTTTTATCTTAGCCCACTGCAAAACCACCGACGTCCGAGTTGCAAGGTCCAGCTCATCCCATTGCCGGTGCCGAGAATGCCAAAACCAATCGTGACATGTTCTTAAACAGCGGGGCTTTTTCTCAAAGTGTTCGGCGAAGGTGACTCATTTCTGAGTGGCCGTTGCTGAAATCGAAGTCCCACAATAGGGACAGTCGCAGTGCAGCTGGTCGGGCAAGAAAAACCATTTCTTCAGCATGGTTACCAACCCCGGTAGAACGCATCCACTGCCATCCTGTCTTTTCTCGCACCGGGTGCAAGTCGTGGGATCCTCCACCATTGCCAACAGACCACTTCTTTCCACCATTAGTGTGCCATCAAAGGAGTTACCCGCCACTATCAATTCCCCATCCACCGTTTCAACATGCTGGGGAATCCCTAGGCTTAACCACCTATGACTCACCCACCAGGACTTCCACCGTAGTATCGCCGAATCCTTATATAAGTCCTCGTTAGCGGGGCGTCCTATAACATAGCGGGGGCACTTAGTCCAGTAGTGTCTGTCATCCTTCCCTTCACAGCTGTCATGCCCGACCAAACCTGTCCCGCTAGGAATTCTCAGTAAAACATAGGAGTTCATACGGGTGAGACCTCAAAGATGTTGAGGTGTCCTAGGTTCATGAGTATAATACCCGTGTCCTTCCCTGTCGTGCCATGAACCCCATTCTGCTTTTCGCAACTCTCGGGCCAATGCTGCATGCCCAATCCCAAAGCTAATCCCTTCCCAACTCAGAGGCCACAATGGACGGCCCACACTGGCCTTAGATTTTTGGTCTACCATCTCATTGCCATCAATGCCCATGTGTCTCGGAACCAAGCTAATGTTGACCTGGCTAAGCGCATTAAGCAGTGTTGCCATGACCTCCCACATTTCAGCCGAATCACCTTCCGAAAACATCCCGTTTACCAGGGTGAGGGCAGGAACGCAGTCCAGAAACACATGGACCGGGCGCCTCTTGGCCATCACTCGGGCAAACTGGAGTGCACAGACAACTGCAAACAGCTCGCATTCAACAATGCTCCAAGATGGAGGAACCGAGCACCCATCAACACAGGTCAGGGCCCCTTTCTCAAATACCGCCGATGCCACACCAGCCTCTTCAGAGGTCTTGGACCCGTCCGTGTATATGACCACATCCGAGGACTTGCACAGATCTGTGTATAGTGAATGGTGGCGTGCAGCCACTACCGCCTTGCCTTTTCCGATCGTAATCGTGGGGCGGCAGGTGAGGTCTTTGTCTGAGTTCTGCCGGTGTGCCACCATCCCTTCCTGCTTCCAACCGTGCCGTATCTCACCGAACCATGGGTGTCGATCACAGTACCGGTAGTTAATAAATCGGCTGTAGCATCTCCTTCGCAGATACCTTCCTTGGATGGCAACAGGTGGTGTTCCGAACTCAGCCAGCAGTATATTGTTTGCCAGCCTCATGGGGGTCCGGAAGACTGATCGGAAGCAGTTGTTGATGGTTGACCTGAATCTGTTTCACATACGACCCATGGTCGGTTACAAACTCAAGTCCGTAATACATGGTCGGAAGGTAGACTGCCTGCACCAAGCGGTAAGTCTCCTATGCCCCAAGCCCACCAACACTCCCAAATCTTCTCCCCAACGCCGAAATCCTTCTCCTAACACCCAACCCCCTTTGTAACCAATACTTTACATGAGAAGAAAAATTAAAAAATACATTAAACCTATAACCAAGAACCCGCAAATCCTCAGAAGGTAAAGCCATTTCTCCTAACAACTCCATTCCTCCCTATGCCCTGTCCCCAAACCCGATCCACAGGGTTTTGAGGGCACTAAACCCCATCCCCCTAGCCCTTGCTATACGATCGCAGTATGCAAAGGTTTTGCCTGCATCGTACGGGGCAGCGTTGCAAGAATCTGCAGCCACCAGGATGACCCCGTCATCAACATATGAGATCACCAATTGTCGGACCCTGGGGGAGTAACGCATTCGCGGTGTGAATATATCCACTAGGTAGGCCCCGAAGAGAAAAGGAGAGAGAGGCGAGCCCTGAGGCACCCCTTTGCTGACATAGTAGGCCTTAGAGACGCATCCGTTAAACCGGAAGTGAATTGACTGACAGGAAGTCCACCTTCGTACCCACTGACACAGGTTCGATGGACACTCCCAGGCAACGAAGAGGTCTGTTAGGAGGTCAACATCAATGTTATCGAATCCTCCTTCAACACCCATGGACAAAATTAGCCGTTTATAGTCCTAATTGTGCCGTAGGAACTCAAAGACCACCGCCATGGCATTGTGAACTCCCCTCTTCCGGCGAGAGCCAAACTTTGTCTCCTCCAGATCAAGACACATGGCCAGTCTTATCAGGACCACTCGTTCTGCAACCTTTGCAGGTGTTGGGAGGAGGTGTATCATTCTCCACGATTTGACGACATCATATCTGGGTTTGTCAATCTTCGGTATGAGCACTACTTCTGCCCAATGCCAATCCGGAATATCATGACGTAGCCCATAGTCGACCAAACGTCTCAGAGTTGTTGTATCTCTTCACTTCCAGAACCATATGAAAGGATACCCAATATTATCCTCACCTGGACCCGTATTCGTAGGGAACCTAGCAAGGGTGACCTCCATTTCCTGAGCACTGTCCATATCAATGATGGAATCTTTCCAAGGAGCATGATCGCCAGGGGATAGCTGTTGTGCAATCACGTCGCTGATGTCTGAATGCGTTGTAGCATAGGACCCATCTGGTCGAGCCAGGGAGGGAAGTCTTCGCTTGGCTTCCAACTTT